CTCCAGAAGAGAAACCGAAGCCAGTCGAAGAACAAAAAGGCAAGAAATCTGAACAACCACAGGTGAAACCAGCTCCAGAAGAGAAAGCGAAACCAGTGGAAGAACAAAAAGACAAAGGATCTGAACAGCCAGTGGCCAAACCAGTTCCAGAAGGGAAACCTAAATCGGCCGAAGAACAAAAAACTAAAAAAGCTGAAGAATCACAAGTGAAATCGACTCCCGAAGAGAAGGTGAAGCCAGTTGAAGAAAAGAAAGCTGAACAACCACAAGGAAAACTGGCTCCTGAAGAAAAACTGAAGACAGTTGAAGAACAAAAAGGCAAGAAAGTTGAACAGGTACAAGCGAAACCGGCCCCAGAAGAGAAACCGAAGCCAGTGGAAGAACAAAAAGGGAAGAAAGGTGAGCAAGCGCAAGCGAAACCAGCTCCAGAAGAAAAGGGTAAGCCACCGGAAGAACAAAAGGCGAAAAAAGCTGAAGAACCTCTGGCGAAACCGACTCCTGAAGAAAAAGTCAAGGCAGTTGAAGAAAAGAAAGCTGAACAGCTGCAACCGAAACCTGCTCCTGAAGAGAAATCGAAAGCAGTCGAGGAACAAAAAGCGAAGCTCTCTGAAGAAAAGAAAGCAGTTACAGCTGAGATTCCTGTTGAAAAAAAGGAGGAAGCAAAGGTTGTTCAAAAACCAGCGCTGGCTGAAGAGCAAAAAGGTAAACCAGACGAGAAACCAAAAAAGACACAACCTGCTGTCGCTAAACCTGGATTAACTGTTGAAGCTATTGTACCAGTGAGCACGATCGAAGAAAAAGAAAAAATTAAAACAGTTGCTCCGCAAACTACTTCTCCTGAGCAACAGAAAATGAAGCCTGTTGAGGGGAAGAGACCATCTATCGAAATGGCAAGTTCTGAGTCGCCAACTGCTGCAGCTGAACATGATTTTCTTCGACCAAACTTTACTCTTCGTCTAAAACCAACAATTACTGTTACTGAAGGTGACAAACTTAAGCTTGAAGCTCGTTTTATCGCTCAACCAGAACCAACAGTAAGAGACATCTTATCATGGTATTATTTATGAAAAGAATATTTTTGCTTTTTTAGGTAACATGGTATTTTAAAAATGATGTACTTAAACCTTCACCTAATATACATATTGATCAATTACGTGATGTTCATATGTTTTGTTCAATAGTAACTATTGACCAAGTAAATAATAATTTAGATGGTAAATTCAAAGTAGTACTCAAAAATGAATTGGGTGAAGCTGTGAGTGCTACCCAAGTAAACGTCAAACGATGTATGTTTACCTTTTCCAGAAAATCTCTATATCTAATATCACAAATAATTTTATTTTTATTTTTAGCAACTACGGCTGTGCAACTTCAAGCGCCACCAAAGAAAACAAGCACGTCCGAAGCTCCATCACTTGCACCAAATGAGTAAGCATTTCAGCTGGTTAGGTCGTCCTTATTTGGATCAATAAGAAAAATAATGTATATGAATGCGGTATCGATATTGGAAGGCATATAAGCATAGAATTACTCTCTCCCTCTCTCTCTCTTTTCCTTTATCGTCCCTTTTCCGCAGACAACCATTCGTAATTCTCATTCGTCGTTGATTCGGCTTTGATTATTTTCCTTGCCCTTATTCAAACGATCGTCATCACATCTTTGATTCTCCTTTTGTTATAAGAAAGATGTCTAATAAAATATAAACAATATTGACTTATGCAACGACAACAAGGAAAACTGTAAGTTAGAGATCGACTTTCTCTCACATATCTGTTTATACTTTTCAAGGCCATGTTATAGTTGCTTGTCTTTATTTAAATCTAATATATATATATATATATATATATATATATGCAAGGTGACTATTTAGTTCAGCGACCTTGTCTGAAAAAATTAAGTCATCAGACATCTTTTATCGACGATTTATATTTAATATCTTCCAAAAGATATAAACTAATATCAAACACATGTATATATATATATATATATAAATATAAATCAATCTAAGGAATAAAACAGAACATGTTTCTATTGATTGTATTATGAACGATTAGATTCCATACATCCTAAAACCTATATATATATATATATATATATATATATATCTACAATACCAAGTGACCTTGCTTTAAAAATTATATTGATCTAACAGTGTTTATTGCTTTTTTCCAATTCATCATCCAAATAGTACATTGTCTTTATAATTAACCGTTCCATCTATTTTTTTTTGTCTTTCCTTTCCCATTATTTTCTTTTTTTTTTTGCCAATGGCTGTATCTAATAATTGTACGAGAACAACATATAGACAACAACTTATATAAGTAGCAGTTCTCGCTATATGGTCTTCTCCAATGCACGAGAATAACAATGTCACCCTTGTGTCAAGGAATCGATAAAAAAAAAGAGAAGAGAAAGAAATACGTACTTCTAGCAAGAATATACATATGCATCACATAAACCAGAAAGCTTCTCGAAAGAGAAAAGGAATCAATTGCAGATGGATAAAGATGTGACACAATATTGATTAGGAAATAATATTTGAGTAGAGAAATAAAAGAAAAAGAAAAGAGATGAGAACATGATAGAAAGATAGAGATCATTTTTCATCTCGGTTATCTCTTTGCAAGATTCAAATACCTACATAATTCCTAAATATTCATATCAACCAATACAGTATTAGAATATAAACAATAGTAGTTAAGTCATCAGTACATTTCTCCAACATATTTATTCTATGAGAACAATAAATAAACAACTATCCAACGATACCTTAGCATAGAAAGTATTCTCGTATAAGATTAGTGTTTTACAAACAAAAAAAAATACACTCTTTTTTTTGTTGTCCGCTATTATAACTAGCATTAACGAATATTACTGACTAGATGATGATGATGAATGGTTACTCTTATGTTCTTGACAGTTATTAACGATATACTGATTATGAATCTTTGTAAAATTTTTCTATGAGATAATAATCTATCTCTTTCAACGCATTTCAATGTAAGAATAACCTTTTCTCTATCGATCAATAGAGTCTTATTAACGACGGCAAGTGGTAGTGAAGGTGAAACAATGTCGAGCGAGCCAACCATTACTACTGATGAACGTCGTACAAGTATATTAACTGTACCTGAAGGCAAACCAACCTTTATTCAACCACTTGAGAGTGAGTTATTAATCAATGAAGATGAACAACTCACGTAAGAACTTTTTCGTTTTTTTGGTTAATTTTTATTTTCTAAATACTTTTTTTGTTTTTGTTTAGTCTCGAATGTACTATATCTGGTAATCCATTACCACAATTAAATTGGTTATTTAATGATCGAAAAATAATTATTGGTAAAGATTATCAAAGAAAAAGTGAAACATTAAATCCACATACTGTTCGTCATCAATTAATAATTAATCCTAAACATAAAAAAATTGGTATTTATAAAGCTCAAGCACAAAATACATATGGTCATACAATAAGTACATGTTCAGTTAAAAAATCATCTCATACACTTGATCGACAAAAGAAAGCTGCATTTCAAGAAGCTGAATTACAATTATCAGCACCACCATCTGCTCAACAACATCGTTCAAGTGTAACAGCACCAGCTAATCTTGAACAAATACAAAAACCAATTATTGTTCAAGGTCTCTCAATATTACAAATTGATTTAGGTTCACCATGTGCATTAACATGTAAATCAAAATATGATACTGAACAACAATGGGTTAAAGATGGTCGACCAATTCTTAGTACTCAACCATCCGATGATAATATGTTTCGAAAAACAGATCGTTCAAATGATGGTAATTTACATGTACTTAATATAAAAAAATTTCAACAAGAAAATATTGGAAATTATGAATTAATTCTTAAAAATAATCTTGGTGAAATAAATTCTCAAGGACGTTTAGAAATGAAAGGTATAGCACCAACATTTATTCTTGAACCTAAAACAATAGCAGTTGTCAAAGGAAAACTAGCTGAATTTAATTGTCGTGTTGCTGGAAGTCCAAAACCAGAAGTATAATCAATTTCGTTTTTAAAAAAAGAAACATTTATTTAATTGATATATTTTTTGTCTTAGGTTCAATGGTTTCTTAATGATAAACTTTTACATTCAGGTGGTAAAATATCTATTGTTGAAGAACGTGGTTTATTTATTCTTCGTATTAATAATATAACTGATGCTGATACAGGTACAATAAAATGTCTTGTTAAAAATGCTTTAGCTGAAATACAACGTGAAGTACAATTACAAATAACTGGTGAACAACGTATACCAAAAATTATTGACAAGTCACCATCAAAAGAAGTTAATGTTGATGAAAGTGTAGAATTTTTTGTTAAAGTTTCAGGTGCACCAACACCAACAGGTATTTTATTTTTTTTATCTTTGTTTTAAAGAAGTTTTTGACATTGACTATCGAACAAAATGTAATTATTCTGAAGTCTCCACCTCTGAAAACTCGATCTTGGGTCAAATACATTCCAATCATATGAAATTTTTAGCCTTATATCATGATATTCTGGATAGATATTTAAAAAACCAGGGTGGAAAATAGCTCATTTGGTAGTCCAAAATTCTTTGTAGGTCTTCATTGTATATATACCTAATCTTTTTGTTTGAAGGAGCATATCAGATTGCAATGTCCTTTTTCAAAATCTTACTTTTCAAGGGATGAAAAATTCAATGTCTCCAAAAAAAACGACGCCATCTCGGCATTCTCTTTCAAACAAAAAAATTAAATATATAGAATGAAGGTCCATAGAGAATTCTGGATTGTATAATCAAGAAAGTGAAAGAAAATTTCTTTTTTCTCTTGAAAACAGCATCTTTTTTTGAAGTAGATGAAGATAGAAATCATGTTATGTATGGAAGATCATGTCTCCACCTATTCTTTCATGTGTTTATCTTAATTTCGATAATTCTGACATAAATTGACTTTTTTTTTTTGAGGGCATCGTAACCTATTACCCTCTAACACTAATTCAATAGAGTTGATGTTGAACCAAACACAAGAATTGCTTATGCAGGTGCTAATTATGATACTAATACGCTTAAACCTTCAGGTTTCTATCTTTGATTGATAAGAAATTCCTTTAAAAATGGCTGTGAAATGCTTTTTGACTGGCTAGTAGTCCTAATAAACTTCCTAGCAAGATAGTGCAATTTTACAGTATTTTTAACTGAGTGCTGGTAGTCTTCTCAGGTACATCGAAAAAAAAGTGACTGTCGAATTTCAACTAGAAACTTTCCACAGAGAGAGAGAGAGAGGCTGTAATAGAAATAACTTATTGTGAGAGTTTCAGATCTTTTTGTTTTTCCTATTCTAAACTTTTTTCTCATGTTCTTGAAGACATTGCATCATTCAGTTAAAAACAATGCAGTATCTAAATGAGTCAAAAATGACTTAACAGAGGATAGACAGTTTAAACTGTAATTGTTTACTAAGAAAATAATTCATTCTTATAGACATTTAGCATTATCTTGTCATCTAAATTGAATATTGATCTTGATAAAAAAAATATATATTATCGATAAGACAGTTCTAGATTCCACGATAGATAGAAATGTAATATAATAAACACGAGAGAATATAGAATTAACATACCTATCATTCATTATCCTATTATATAATCTATACATAATTATATTCTAGTTACATGGACTCGAAAAGGTATGCCTATATCATCAAATGAACTTTATCAATTACGTACTGATAATGATACACATTATTTATTAATTAAAAAAGCTATTGCTGATGTTGTTGGTACTTATGTTGCAACAGCTGTTAATACAGCTGGAAAAGTTTCAGCAGATATTGATCTTACTATAACAGGTAAGTTAAAAACAAAAAAGAACGGTATGATTATTTTATTTTATTTTTTATTAGGTTTAAGTACTTTATTCGTACGACCATTACGTGATACATCTGTTACTCAAGGACGCCCATTTACACTTGATTGTGAAGTTAATACTCAAAAAGGTAGTCCAGCAATTATATGGATGAAAGATAATAAACCAATTGTTAAATCAGATCGTATAATACCATCTATTAAAGGAACTAAAATTCATGTATTAACAATTAAACAAGCATTACCATCTGATACAGGTTATTATAGTATAAAAGCAACATTAGGTAATGAAATAAGTACATCAGATGCTCAAGTAGTTGTACAAATTCCACCATCAATTATTAAAATACCTGAAATAATAAGTATTGTTGATGGACAAGATTGTGAAATTAATATTGAAGTTGCTGGTTTACCATCACCTACTGTTAAATGGTCACATTTAGCTGAAGATTTAATAACAAATTCAAAATATAAAATAACATCAGATGGTAATAATCATCAATTACGTATTCAACATGCATCTGTACAAGATGCTGGTGAATATCAAATTTTATGTACAAATAATGTTGGTCGTGTAACAGGAAAAACTACTGTTCGTATATCATCACCACCAATTATAATTGAACCATTAAAAGATTTATTTATACCAATAAAACGTACAGCACGATTAGAAACACATATAGAAGCATTTCCTGAAGCAAAAGCTATTTGGTCAAAAAATGCTATACCTATTGATTTTAGTTTATATGGAGGACGAATGATTGCTGAAGAAAAACGAGGCATTTATTCATTAGTTATTAAAAATATTCAATTAGATGATGGTGGATTTTATGTCTGTACAGCACAAAATTCATTTGGACAAGTTAAAACATCAGCAACATTAACTATTGAAATGGGTCCAGTATTTTTACACAAATTAGAAAAATTAGAAGGTGTAGAAAATTGTGATATTGATATACGTGTACAAGTTGCTGGTCATCCAAAACCAAATTTAGAATTTGCATTTAATCAAAATCCAATTGATTTAAAAGGACGGTAGGATCATTAGATTTTTATTTTGATAATAAATATATATATATATATATATTTTTGTATAGATATTCATTAAAAGAACTTAAAGGTGGATGGTATGTTTTTACTATTGCCAATGCCAAAAGATCCGATGCTGGTTCATATTCATGTACAGCAACAAACTCTCTTGGACAAATATCATGTGTTGGAAAATTAACATTATTTCGTATGTCATTTGTTTTATAATATAATATGAAGGTTTTTTTTTCTGTAAAATACCATCGAACAGGGGTGTTGAAGGATGGAAATCAAAATCTGGACCTACATACAGATGATGACAGACATAACCATGAGAATGTCAAAAACCATGACAGAAGTTGTTGATGTACGATCAAAGATTGTATGTCAACAACATCTCATTTATTGCATTTGTGGAGGATAAAAAAAGACCGATGATGAAGAAATGTGTTTTATAATAAAACAACAAGAACAGCTGCAACGTATTTCAAATTTTAAACCCACAAGAATTTCGCTAGTAGCTTTTTTTCTGATATGTCGAATGTATGTCTCAAATATAGAAGAATATCATCTCAAAGTTTCATCGATATCAGATTAGTGAAACAAAGTGGCAACCAACTTTACTGCAGACATCTTTTCGAAAAATGAATAATTACTTTTTTCAGGACAAAATCTTTTCTTATAAATCTATAGAGCCGAAGTCCTAGTTTCAGACTATATATGATTTATTATCCAACTCTTTTTTTTTTTGACAAAATGATTTTTTTCTCTAAAGGTTATGCCAAAAACCTTGATATTAATTAATGTGTATAATTTACTATTCGCATCTCGATAAAAGCTCATTTTCATTTTTTCACATAATGTTCATATTGTTGCCCACTGTGCTCTACCTCCGGCAGACATCTTCATCATAGATCACATGTGAATAATGTCTCATTCTAATATATGAACTATTTTCTTCTTGCATTTCTAAAGAATTAAGTAAAAATATGGTGAAGAAATGTATCCCAAAATAGATAGAATAAAACAGCAGCTAGATTGTGTTTTATATTTTAATCTTACAAGGAGATTGTGCTAACAGTCTTAGTTTTTTTTGTTTTATATTTCTAGCATTATCTGCACCAAATTTTACTAAAAATTTAACTGATGCTTTATTTCCTGTTGGTGGAATACTAAAACTTGATTTAAAAGTCAGTGGTTTACCGTTACCACATTTAACATGGCTTAAAGATGGACAAATATTTGATGAAAATGATCGTATATCAATTGTATTTGATCCACGTACAGCAAATTGGACATTAACAATAAATGATTGTCAAGAAAGTGATAGTGGTATATATGAATGTCGTGCAAAAAATCCAGGTGGAGAAAAAATAACAAAATGTAAAATAACAGTTTCGGGTGAAGCACCAATATTTATTGATTCACCAGAAAAAGTTAGTTGTTTGGAAGGACAAACAGCTGTATTTGGCTGTCGAGTTAGTGGTGATCCTTATCCAATGGTTCTATGGTCAAAAGGCAAAACAAAAACATTTACAGAAAATACACCAAAATATGTACTTTATTATGATGATGAACTCGATGCACATTTTTTTGAAATAAATCAATGCTCAGGAGCTGATACAGGAACATATACAGTTACACTTCAAAATACACATGGAACTGTAACAAAACCAGTTTCATGTTTTATTGTTACAAGACCAGAAGAAGTTATTGATTATAAGAGTGTTCTACGTAGAATGTATGTATTCAATTTCTTAGTTCTTTTCAGTTGGCTGTTCTATATTACTTTTTGAATTGTTTACATAATTCGCGGCCTTTGTCGCTGAATGGGTACTGTGTTTAAACCTCAGTACCATCAGCCATGAAATGACTCTGGACAAGTCACTAATGGTTGTTTTCGATAACTAAGTTATGACATATACCTGTTCTTGTGGTTAGTTAGTGTGCATGGAGAGCTCAAGCGGACTTTGCGTCAGGCTGACCTTCTGTATTAGTTGCAGAGAAGATATCAGACTAATGAGTCTGTTGCTAGATAGCACTCTATACTGGAAGAATTCGGGATTATTGTATGGTTTTTTTATTTGTAGGGAAGCCTTACAACGAGGAGGTGCTGGTGGGCCAGATTGGGGCAAATTAAAGAAAGGTAAAGCTACAGCCAAACGACCTACTGATCCTGGTTGGCAATATAATTTAAAACATTTTGAAACAACTGGTGAAACACAAGTTAAACAATATCTGGAAGCTCAAGCTGGTGATCTCGTTGGTTTATCGCCAAGTGAATTAGCTGCTCGTCGTTCACGTGGAAGTATTGGTACTGGCGAAGGTTTAGAAGGTGATGATGGACGTGGATTAGATGCATCGACATCAACAACAGCACCGAAAGGTCGTAAAGTATCTCGTCTTGGTCTTGTTACATTTACTAAACCATTAACAAATGTAACTGTAAATGAAGGTAAACATGCAACATTTGAATGTAATGTATCAGAAGCTGAAGCATCTGTAACATGGTTAATTAATGATAAACCTATATCGACTGAACGTGCTCAAACATTATCAATTGGTAAAACACGTCGTCTTAATATAAAAGATTGTTTATTAAATGAAAATAATTCAACAATAACATGTATATTAGATGAAGCAACAAAAACAAATGCACAATTATTTGTTAAAGAAGAACCATTTGATTTTGTAGATAAATTAAAAAATCTTAAAATAAAACATGGTGATAAATGTGAATTACAATGTACAGTTAATAAACCAAATATTAATTTACAATGGTTTAAAGATGGTAAATTAATAACAGATATTAAAGAAGAAATTGATGGTTTAAAACATAAATTAATTATACCAAATATAGAAGATAAAGATAAAGGTGTTTATGTTGCTAAATATCAAGATATACAAACCGAAGGTCATGTTGAAGTATTGGGTATGTATTTAAAAAAAAATTGTTTTCTGGAATTATTTCAAACTGAAAAGATAAATGCGTCAATGAGAGTGTTTCTGAGTTTATCGAGATATGTGATAGTGCATTGAGACTCGTTCTACATATAATGAATATGTATAATCAGGTTATTTGTCAGTTAAATCAATGGTTAGAATAATAATAATGTTTAGATCAATTATCGTTGGAAAATAACTAAAGCGTATTACTGATTTTCCACTTGACATATATTGTATTAGTATGATGAGGCTAAAGAACACATGTTTAAGTTTCACATTTAACCTCTAAAAGGATTATGTCGCGATGAGGATTTTTTTGTTTAATTAAATCTCTACAATTTTTTTTTTAAAAACAAGGCCCACCACAAATTGTCAAACCACCAACTAATTCAATTCTTCTTGTTGGTCAATCCGTTATTCTTACTACTGAAATAGTTGGTAATCCAAAGCCACAAGTTTCATGGTTATTCAAAGGTCAACCACTTAAATCAACTACAACTAAACATCAAATTGATGCTAAAAAAGATGGTATATATACATTAACAATTCTTAAAGGTGATACAGCTGATGAAGGTCAATATACTGTCGTTGCTGAAAATTCAGTTGATAAAGTTCAAGCAAATGCTACCGTAACTGTATGTACAAAACCAAAAGTTGATAAATTAGCTGATCTTGCTATTAATATTGGTGATAATGCTCGTATTCAATGTCAATATTCTGGACAACCAACACCAACTTTAACATGGTATAAAGATGGAAAAGCAATTCCAACTGATGACCAACGAATTATAATTACACAAGAAACACTAACATTATCTGTATTAACAATTAATAATACAACTATAGATGATAAAGGAATTTATTCCGTTAAACTACGAAATATTGCTGGTGAAGTTGAAGGAAAAGCAAATTTAAATGTTAAACGTAAGTCAAAGAAAATTTCATAAATCGTTTTTTTTTTGTAAAGCATGATCTAAAGAGATTGTTGAAGTGTAGCGGGTAAATATTTAAATTCTCTGACAGAAACCATTACAGACCAGAATATACGTTACTCAGAGGACATCACTAGGGAGGAATGGAACGGTGACGATAACCATAGATATGGTTATTGATCCAAGCCGGTTGTCACAAAGAAAAGGTTTTTGTTTGGAGAAAATAATCATTTTTTTATAAAGGTTGACGAAAATAAATCGGAGACTGCGGAAATCCGAATCTGCAATCGGTTTTTCGAAAACAGATCACACAAACCCCAATTATAAATAATCATAGACTGGAAGAAATGTTGTTGATTTTTTTTCTATAGCAATTAAACCAACAATAACACGTGATCTTAATCCAACATATATTGGTATTAAAGATGAAAATCTTATATTATCAATATCGGGTACTGGTAATCCATATCCAACATGTCAATGGTTTAAAAATAATACTGAAATAACAACGACAACAGATGAACGTATACAATTTAAAGAAGATAAAACAACAAATGAATATAGTCTTATTATTAAAAATACAAATCAAAATGATATAGGTGAATATCAATCACAATTAACAAATGCTGCTGGTTTAGTTAAATCAAAAAAGAGTAAAATTACAATACAAAAACAACCAACATTTATTAGAAAACCAGAAACAATAACTGTTAATCAAACCGAAACATGTAAAATTGACTGTCAAATTGATGCATTACCACAAGCAAAAGTTACGTGGTTAGTGGCTGGTAAACCAGTTTCAGCTAAAGATGGTTATGAAACAACATTTGATACGAAAACAGGTATTGCTACATTAACTATTAAAAATATTACAACAAAACATGCTGGTTCAATAACTGTCAAAGCTGAAAATACAGTTGGTACAACTGAAGAAACAGCTAATATTAATATTCGTTCAGCACCAATTCTTCTTAAACCATTAACCGATACCGAAGTCATTACAAATAATGATGCAACATTTATTTGTGCATTTCAATCGTCACCACAAGCAAATATTCAATGGTTTTATAATGGTAAACCATTATCTTCATTACCAAATAAATATGATATTTCATACGATTCGAATACAAATCAACATAAACTTATTATTAAAAATACAACATTAGATGATCATGGCACTTATAGTGTACAAGCAATAAATGAACTTGGACAAACACAAAGTGAAGCTAAACTTAATGTTATACATGCACCAAATTTTCTTAATGGTTTACAAGATACATCAGTTGTTGCTAAAGAAACTATTGAATTAAATATTAAAGTTCATGGTACACCACAACCAACAATAACATGGTTAAAAGCTGGAAAAGAAATAAAATCTGATGAGAAAAAATATTCTATTATACCAATAGATAAAGATGGTAATGCAAAATTAATCATTAAAGATGTTAGTGAAGAAGATCAAAGTTTATATTCATGTATAGCAAAAAATAAAGTTGGTACAAATCAAACTGATGGACATTTAAAAGTTTTAGCACCATTAAAATTTATTCAACCATTGCAAGATATTGATGTACTTAATACACAAAATACTACATTAACATGTGAAGTACAAGGTATTCCAAAAGCTAATGTTAAATGGTAAATTCTTTTGAGAGAAAAATACAAAACGCAATGAATCATATATTTATTTTTATAGGTTTTTTAATGATATTGAACTTAAATCAACACAAAAACAAGCTATAACAGCTAAACAAAATATTCATACATTAACTGTTAACCGTGCTGATCAAACTGATGCTGGTATATATATATGTAGTGCGTTTAAAAAGTTCCCAAATGGATTTTATTTAAATTTAGCATGAAGCACTGTTGTATTAGTAATTCAGACAATTATCGATCGATAGACATCATAAACTCTATTAAAAATGAAAATATAGAAATAACAGATGATCAAAACGCTCATTCATTTTTTAGGCTCTGAAAAGAATCTGTAGGGATTAGAATCAAAATTTTGTGCTCTTTTCAAATGGCGGTTCAATATTTTTGTCGAATATCTCGTTTAGCAGAGTTTTTATAGAGGCTCGTAAATTACCTTTGGATGATCTTCAGCACGCTAAAACTTACCCAAAGTAGAAGCTCACATGATTTTAAATATAGGGGGTAAAATGTCGGCTGTAGAGTTCCTCGGATCCGACCCGAATCCTGATCTGACCAGGTCTGAGTCCACAAAAATTTTACCGACCGAATCCGAGTCTGAAAATTCTCGGATTCGATAGACTCTGTTCAGCTGTTCGTCCGGCTACATTTTGACTGTCTACGATGGTCAGGATTTGAAAAGTTCTAATAATTATACTATTCACATCCGGATTATAATCAATGTATGATGATTCATTTTTATTCCAAGAATCACCATCACAAGCTAAATAGCCATTATAAATTCATACATATTAGATGAGACACTATTTCTTACAATTAGAAATTTTACCACTTATTGATGTTCAATTTTTTTTTGTTTTCCTTCAATGTATTGAATTCAGTAGAGATGATGTTGTCTACAAACTGTATGAACTATACATAGGCAATATTACTACCAAGAATAGTACTTCTTGTTATTTTTAAATAAGAGCAGTCTGTGAACTTTTTTGAACGCACTACTTATATCTTAAGTCTAATATTTCATTCTCAACATGTTCTTTTTTTTTGTTAACAGGTGTTTACAAAGCTGTTGCAGATAATGGTACTGGAACACCAGTTGAAACAACTTGTACTCTTACTGTTGGCAGTATGTATTAATAAATTTTATTCTTCATTATTTACATTTGTTTTCTTTTAGGTAAACCAAAAGTTGAAGGTAAACCAGTTGATGCAACAGTTACTGTTGAACAACTAGCTGTTCTTCAATGTACATTTTCTGGTTTTCCAAAACCAGAAGTTACCTGGTTTAAAGATAATGTTCCAATAATACCAGATCAACGTATAACTATTCAAGAAAATCAACCAAATGTTCATTCATTACACATAAATCATTCGCAAATGGATGATAAAGCAACATATTTATGTAAAGCTAGAAATCGTTTTGGTGAAATTGATGCTAAAATGAATCTAAATGTTAATTCAATTAAACCAACTATTATTCGTGATTTACAAGATCAACAAATAATTGAAAAAAGTCAATCAATTGAACTTCAAATTGAAATTACTGGTGTACCACAACCACAAATAAAATGGTTTAAAGGTAATGATGAAATTAATACAACAACAACTCATAAAGATTATGAAATAAAATTTGATAATAAACAAACCTATACATTATTTGTACCAAATTCAACACCTGAACATCAAGGTGAATATTCCGTTCAAGCAACAAATCCAGGTGGAACAATTAAATCAAAGAAAACAAAAGTAATCGTACAGAAAAAACCAGAATTTATTAAATTACCACAATCACAAACTATTAAAGATGGACAATCAGTTATATTTGATGGCCAAATAGATGCTTATCCTCAACCGAAAGTTACATGGTAAGAATTCTTATTTAAATAAAACAAAATAAAAAAAAAATTGTAAATTTTTATCATTTTGAATTAGGCTTAAAAATGGTAAGCCATTAACACCTGATCTTGGTTTTGAAAGTCAATATGATGCTAAAACTGGTCATATTACACTTAAACATAAAGCAGCAACAAATAAACAAGCTGGTGAACTTATTTGTCGAGTCGAAAATGCAGCTGGTACAACTGATGCATCAGTAACACTCGATGTTCAAGGTAAATTAATTCAAAAAGATATTCATTGATTTAAACCATATTTTTCTCTTTTTTAGCTGTACCAGTTATTACAAAGAAATTAACTGATCAAGAAGTTATGATCGATAATGAAATACGTTTTATTGTTGATATTGCAGGTTCACCAACACCAACTATATCTTGGACAAAAGATGATCATCCAATTACACCTGATAATAATCATATTATCGAATCAGACAAAACAACTCATACATTAATAATTAAAAATGTTAAATCAACTGATGAAGGTAAATATCGTGTAGTAGCTGAAAATCCTCTTGGTCATGTTGATTCAACGGGCCAATTAACTGTACTTGAACAACCATTAATTGATCAATCATTTGGTGATATAACTCAACCAATTGGTACAGACGTTAGTCTTAAATGTAAAATAATTGGTGGCCGACCAAAACCAACAATAACATGGCTTAAAAATGGTAAAGAATTTAAAGGAGATGATCGACATATAATAACATCAACAACAGACGGTTTATGTGAATTATTAATTAAATCTCTTGATGAAACAGAAAATCAATCAAAATATACATTATTAGTTAAAAATAAAGTTGGACAAAAAGAAATCAATTCAATAATTACAGTTAAAGCACCATTAGAATTTATTCAATCATTAAAAGATCAAGATATACTTGCACAATCATCATGTGTATTAACTGTTGAAACAAATGGAATACCAAAACCAACAGTTAAATGGTAACAACTAGATACATTTAATGTTAATAATTTTATTATTGTTTTTTGTTTTGTTTTAAATAGGTATTTTAATGATCAAGAACTTAAAAATACAGCAAAAACTAAAATTGAATCAAAACAAAATACTCATACATTAACATTACCAAAAGTTGATTTACCTGATGAAGGTGTTTATAAATGTATTGCAACAAATCCTGATGGAACGATCGAAACAAAAGCAAATATATCTGTTTGCAGTATGTTATTAATACTATATACAGAGTGTTTGATACATATCTTTACGATAAAAATAAAACAACTTGAATATCTCCCCAATGTATAAATTCTAATGGACTGTTTCTCTTTATCAATATTAAAAGATTACTCAAAGCTTTTATTGATAAGTAAACCGTCAAGAAATAAACTCAACTCTTTTCTACAACAGAAGACTACGGATAGAGTCCATCGGTTCTAAGAATTTCTGGACTCGTATCCCGGTAGGACCCGATGGGCTCTAAGCGTGGATCTTCTATTATGTCCAAATAAGTTCAGTTTTTTAAGCAAAGCTTCGCAGATACTATTAAGTTAGTCTTGGTCAATTGTATATAAAAAAGTATTTCTCAAATACTCATGATTAAGAATAATCTCTAGAAATCATTTTCATTTTTTGTCGACGTTTGAGATCATAATCACTGTGTACTCTGTAACTGTTACTTTGTCTGAGAACAGGTATTTGAACATCATCATAGATTAACAAATTTATGTTTCTTCGGTAACACCTTCGTTTCTCCGATCTAGTATGTCTGATCGAGCTGAAACATTTATCACATATACTCTACACCGTTTTGGATGGATATTTTGTCTTTGTTTTAAAAATATTATTCTGCTGATTTTTGGTAGCTCTTACAAAAACCATATGTTTTCTAGGATACTTTCAATGGGCAAAACATAAAAAGATACTCACACTAAATAGTGTCTAGTATTCGTAAGAAAAAATATTCAGCTCGATCGAACGTGGCATCTAGGAGAAACGTGGAGAGGATCATTGTGATCCTTCTATCTCCTAGAAGACAGCGTCCGAGAACTTTAAGTCTATGACAATTTTTGCTCTAATCGTCGAGATCTACTTGTTCTGAGAATTTCAATTTTTTTCTGATGCACCGTTTTCCAGAAACGAGGGAGTTATCCTTTATTTATATAATTTATTTATTCTATTCATTATTTTATTTCAGCTAAACCAAAAGTTGATGGTAAAGTTAATGATGTTACTGTTCAAATTAATGACTCTGCAGAACTACGTACTAAATTCAGTGGTATACCAAAACCAACTGTGGCTTGGTTTGTACAATTAACATTATTCATTCATCCATCAATTTTTCTATGTTTTCTTTCTTTTTAATTAGGTACAAAGCCAATGATCTTAATAATCCATTAAAATCAAATGATAATATTGAAATAAGTGAATTACCTGATGGTACAAATATACTTAAATTAAAAAAGACTGATTTAACAGATAGTTCAGCATATATTGCTCGTGCAACAAATAAAATTGGTGAAATTGATTCAAAAATAAATTTAAGTGTTAAAGAAATTAAACCACAAATATTATCTGATATAACTAATATAATTGCTGTTCGAGATGAATCAGTACAATTTAATATAAAAGCAACAGGCAATCCTCAACCAACAGTACGTTGGTTTAAAAATGATACTGAAGAAATTCTTTCAACAAATCAAGATTATGAATTTATTCATGATACTACATCAGATACCTATAGTCTAAAAATTAATAAATGTAAACCTGAACATCAAGGTGATTATTCAGCTATAATAACAAATTCCGGTGGTACAGTTAAATCTAAAAAAGGCAAATTAACAATAACAAAATCACCTGAATTTCTTGAAAAACCAACATCAATTGATATAAATGAAAATGATTTAGCTGAATTTCGAGCAAAAATTGATGCTTATCCAACAGCAAAAATTTCTTGGTTATTTGAAGGTAAACCAATAACACCTAAAGAAGGATTTGATGTACATACAGATCAAACAACTGGTACATCTGTATTAACTATTAAACAAACATTACCTAAACATGCAGGAAAAATTACTGTTAAAGCTGAAAATCCATCAGGTTCAATTGAAGAAACTGTTCAATGTTCAGTTAAAAGTAAAAACAATAGATTTTTTTTTGTTGTTATGAAAAATTTTTATTTCATTTATTAATTTTAGCTGGACCGAAAATAACAAAAAAACCAACTGATGTCGAAGCGTTATTACATACAGATGCTGTTTTTCTTATTGATGTATCAGGTTCACCAAAACCAGAAATTGAATGGTAATGTTCATTTTTTTTCAATTAATTATTAATTAAATTTTTTTTTCTTTTCAAAAGGATTCATCGTGATCAATCAGTAAAACCTTCAAATAAATATGAAATAATTGAAGAAAGTTCAACCGTAACTAAATTAATCATTCATGACGTTACACCTGAAGATGAATCACCTATACAAATTAAAATTAAAAATTCACTTGGTCAAAATGAAACTACAGTTCAACTTAAAGCACTTCGTATATAATAAAAAAAATTCATTTGAAATTAATTTAATTTTCTTTTTCTGTTTTCATAGAAACACCAGGTATTGAACCACAATTAACAGATCAAGAAGTAACACTTAATCAACCACTTATTCTTAAAGCAAATGTTTATGGTCGACCAAATGTTGATATTCAATGGTTAAAAGATCAAAAACCTGTAGCACAATCAGATCGTATTAAATTTGAACGTAATAATAATAATGAATGTTCATTAACAATAGCAAATATTAAAGAAGAAGATATTGGTACATATACATTATCAGTTAAAAATAAACTTGGAAAAATTGATTCAACATCAAATGTTAAAGTTACTGCAGCATTAAAATTTACTAAACAATTAAATGATTTAGATATTATACAAGGTTCAACTGGAGCTTTATCTGTTGAATGTGAAGGTGTACCAAAACCTAAATTAACATGGTATGTATAAAACTTCTTTATTCATATCATAGATTTTTCACTTCATGAGATCTTTTTTTCGATTGACAATTCCAGAAATAAAAAGTTTTCTAATTACAAATGCTTTTAAAAAAGAATTTCAGACTGATTTGTTGAACTAGAAAGATGTGCTGAACGGCATAGAGGTGCCCTATGAAAACTTTGCACGCTTGGATATAGTTACTCAAATATGCAATCACTATCTTGAATGTTAGCAGGCGGTTAATATTTGATACAAAAAAAAGAATACTTTATTCGATATTACAATAAATGGAAAAAAATATTCATGTAAAAGTCAATCTCTTTGAATAAATCTTAAGTTTTTTAAAGGAAAATAACAAAATCAATTTATAATTTATTGTTGTTGTTTCTTTTTTTTGCAAGGTATTTCAATGATAATGAAATTAAATCTAATCAAAAAACTCGTATTGATACAAAAGGTTCAATAAGTACATTAACAATAAATAAAGCTGATATGCCTGATATTGGTGTTTATAAAGTTATCGCTGATAATGGAAAAGAAAAAATTGAAACACAAACAAATGTTGATGTTTGTGGTATGTTTCTTTTTTGTTGTTTTTCTATTGAATAATTCTAAGATCGAGTAATTATTTTAGTTAAACCAAAAATTGAAGGCAAACCTACAGATGTAACATGTCTATTAAATGAAACAGCTAAACTTAATATTAAATTTTCATCTATACCAAAACCAAATATTACGTGGCATAAAGCTGATGGTACTGAAATAATACCTGATGATCGTATTCAAATTCATACTGATGATAATGGACAATCGACATTAATTATTAATAAGACAACATTACAAGATACTCAAGCATATACAGCTCGTGCAACAAATAAAGTTGGATCAAGTGACGCTAAAATTAATCTAAATATTAAAGGTAATATAAAACATCAAACTCATGCTCTAGAATATTTACATTTCTAAAGTATATTTGCATCACTTATTCGGTCAATATAGTCGTTGTATATTATTAAAGATAGATTTTTAGAAATAACTAACATAATTGCTTTTTGTGCTGGTGTCTGTGCGACTTAAATATCTCAGACAGCCAGGCGTTAGTTATTTTGTGCAAGGTCATTCCACTGTTGGTGATAGGGAGTTGCAGGTACGCGTTTTTATGGACTCGAATCCGAAAAGAGTTTAAAATTAGGATCCCGATCCGACAAAAAAATAAAACTCGAGATCCGAGGCCGGGTCTGGAAGGATCCGTAGCTTCCTATTGATGCTACTGAATTTATATAGTGAGCAACTGTCCATTTCTGTCTAATAAAATTCCCCAAAAAGAAAAATATTCTTTGTTTATCTAGAAGTAAAACCGACATTAAAAAATGATCTTGAACCACAAACAATTAATGTTAATGATGAACTTATTTATCGTCTTGTTGTTGATGGTCGTCCAATACCTACTGTTAAATTCTATAAAGATGGTAATGAAATAGGTCCAGTTACAATTGAAAAATCTCCTACGCCAGATGATTCTCTCGTAACTGCTATTCTTCATATTCCGAAAGCTTCTATTACAGATCAAGGTGAATATCAAGCTTCTATTGAAAATCCTGCAGGTGTAATAAAAACTAAAAAAGCTAAAGTAACTGTTCAACAAATTCCAACATTTCTTAAAACACCTATTGATGCAACTGTTAGTCAAGGTAAAGAAGTAACATTTGAAGCTCAAATATCATCATATCCAATAGCTAAAGTAACTTGGTTACTTAATGGAAAACCTTTAACACCAAATGCTGATTGTTCTATTACATTCGATAATGCAACACAAAAAGCCTTACTTACATTACGTAAAATTGATGCTAATAAACATTCAGGTATAATAACATGTCAAGTTGAAAATACAGCAGGAAAAATTACACATGATGCTAAACTTGATGTTCTTACACAACCAAAAATACTCAAAGAATTAAAAGATGAAAATATTATTGAAGGACAAGATGCAATATTATCAATTGGTGCAAGTGGATATCCATTACCTAAAGTTCAATGGTTTTTTAATGATCAACCTATTTTACATGATAATCAACATTATCAAATAATAACAAAACAAGATGAAAATTTATATGAACTTAAAATTAAACAAACAAAATTAACTGATCAAGGAGTTTATAAAGTTCATATAACAAATTCTGAAGGTGAAATAATAAATCAAGCTAATTTAAATGTTCATATTGCACCTACAATTAGTTCTCTTCCAACAAAAATTGAAGCTATACAAGGTGAACAAGTTATAATACCATGTCAAATATCAGGACAACCAAAACCTGAAATAATATTTTTAAAAGATAAAAAAGATGTAACAACACTGGAAGATAAAGATCGTTTTCATATTGAATATGATGATAAAACTGATAATGTACGTTTAATTATTTCAAATGTTAAAGAAGATGATCAAGGCAAATATACAATACGTGCAAAAAATCTTGTTAAAACAATTGAAGAACAAACTACTTTAATTATATCAGCACCATTATCATTTATTGATCAATTACAAGATACAGATATTATAAGTGGACAAAATTTAACATTAACATGTCATTGTCAAGGTATACCAAAACCAACAATAAAATGGTATCAAAATGATAATGAAATTAAATCAACAACAAAACAAAAAATTGAATCACAACCAGATGGTTCACAAACATTAACAATAAATCGTGTTGATTTAACTGATGGTGGACAATTTAAAATTATTGCAACAAATTCACAAGGTACAATAACATCAACATGTAATGTTAATGTGCTTATGAAACCAAAAATTGATAGTAAACCACAAGATGTTCAAGTTGTTATTGGTGAACACGCACAATTAAATATGAAAGTAAGTGGTGTACCAAAACCAAATATTCAATGGTTAAAAAATAATCAATTATTTGATATTGATAATAAACGTATAAAAACTACTGAAAAAGATGATGTATATTCATTAATATTTGACAGTACACAATTAGATGATAAAGCATCATATACATTTAAAGCAATAAATTCAGCTGGTGAAATAGAATCACCTAAAATGTCATTAAATATAACATCTATTCAACCAAAAATTAAATTAGATTTACAACCAACATTAAATATAACAAAAAATGAATCAATTACTTTAACAATTCAAGCTGATGGTAAACCAAAACCACAAATACAATGGTTTAAAGGAAATGAAGAAATTTCTATAAATCAACCTAATATTAAAATTCTTGAAGAAGATGATAATACTTATAAATTAATTATTGAAAAAGCTACAGAAAAAGATCAAGGAGAATATAGTGCAATTATTCAAAATTCTGGTGGACAAATCAAATCAAAGAAAACAAATGTTACTGTTACAAGTAAATAGACAGACTTTTTAAAGATACCGTCTCTTCAAAAATCGGTCTCAGTTAACCGGAAGAATAATCTCATATCTTCGAAGCGACTATCCAATTCCGATTAGAAAATTTCACTAACGACGGAATCTCGCCAAATGATACATGAATCTTTCTTCGTGAGTCGTGGTCCTGCTCGAATCACCTTCAAAATCGACTTTCGAGTTCAAACTTGGCACAAATAAAGTTTTCAATACGATTAGTTTAGTGTAAAACTTTCAGGTTTCTGTTATGCGAAAGGACAAACTTTGTTCTTATACTCGTATCTTAGGATAGAAGGTACTAGAAAATCTGAAACGTTCACGATGAACTATTCCAATTGAAAAGTTTATTCGTGCAAAGTTTGGACTCAATACTCGAAAGTAGTGGCAGGGCCAGGAGGGATTCAGCCTTCTTGGTTCTGCCATTGCTCGAAAGTTGTTTTTGAAGGTGACTTGAGCGGGACCACAACATTTTGTTGGAAACCTTAGTAAAATGACCATAACTCAAGAAGAAAGATCCATGGGCACGAATCATTTTAGGCTTTTTCTAGCCTCAATAGACCCTATCTAATGAGGTAAGACTCATCTGAAAAGCGATTTATCACTTGGCGAGGTTTCTTATTGAGAATATCATGGTACGGTTCAGTCGGGTATGAAAAATTTCAATCAACCTGGTCTGTGTGAGAAAATTTTGGACCTGATGACCTTTGTCAAGTACATTCAAATTGTATGAAATTTTCAGTATATGCTGGGACTGTAGCGGATAGGCTATGATAAAATTTTCAGTACTGCATCATGGCGTACTCAGAAGATATTCACGAAGCAAGGATGAAAAACAGCGCATTTGTCAACCCAGAATTCTCTACGGGTCTTCATTCTATATATTTAATTTTTTGGTTTGAAAGCGCATGGCGGGATGCAGTGCTCTTTTTCTAAACGCGTACTTTTTAAGCGGAGAAAAGATATGGTAAGTTCAATACTTCGGAAAACTCTCAAACAATCACACTCTAATTATAATAACAGAACTTGTTTAAAAAAAACAAGCTCTGTCAGGTATTGCAGCTTTATACGTTCTTTCAAACAAAAGAAAGTCTATATGTACAGAACGAAAGTCGACAGGGAAATCTGAGATGCGCCATTAGAAAAACATGACTCACTTTTTCTGAAAACAACATATTGTTCAAGACAGAAGTCATCAAAAATTTTAGCAAAAAAAAATCATGTGATTTATAAGAAATCAGATCTCAACTTATTTCCTACCTCGATTTTTCTGACGAAAATTGATTGTGTTTATTTTTGAGGGATAGAAGAGTCTTAAAATCTTTTTTATTATATTTTATTTAGAATCGCCTGAATTTCTATCTAAACCAATGGATACAACTATTAAACAAGGTGATACAGCTACAATTGAATGTCAAATTGATGGTTTTCCATTACCTAAAATAATATTATTACATAATGGAAAACCAGTAACACCTAAAGATGGTATTGAACAAACATATGATGCAACAAATCGCCGTCTTCTAATAACTGTTAAAAATGCTCGTGTTGATCAAACAGGTACATTAACTTGTAAACTTGAAAATGCAATTGGTTCTACGGAAGCATCATGTCAATTAAATGTTACGGCTGCTCCAATTATTTCTAAAGGTTTAACCGATCAAGAATGTTTAGTAGATAAAGAACTTCACTTAACAATTACATCAGCAGCAAGTCCACAACCATCAATAAAATGGTTTAAAGATAATATTGAATTAAAAAATATTGGTAAACAAATTACTGATAATACATATGAATTAATTATACCAAATGTTAAACCCGAAGATGAAGGTACTTATAAAGTTGTTGTATCAAATGATCTCGGTGATAAAGAATCTCAATGTAAATTAACTGTTATACAACCAACTGATCTTAAATGTGAATTTCCAGAACAACAAACTATTGAAATAGGTCAACCTATTCATCTTGAATGTCATGTCAGTGGACGTCCACAACCAGATATAATATGGACAAAAGATGGAAAAGAAATAAAACCATCTGATCGTGTTGAAATTGTCAAAAAACCTGATGGTACTTGTTCATTAACAATTAAACAAGCAACATCAGATGATAAAGTAATTTTATTAAGAAAAAAAAATTTGTCCTTTTTTTTAATTGAGAAAGTTTTTTATTTAGGGTGTTTATAAAGTAATATGTAAAAATAAATTACAAACACGTGAAGCTCAAACACAAATTCAAGTATCATCACCATTAAAATTCAATACAACACTTAAAGATACAATTGCACAAGTTGGACAAAGTGTAACACTTGAAGTTGATTGTGAAGGTTTACCAAAACCAACAATTAAATGGTATAATTCATTGATGTATTTTCAATAAAATCGAAATTCTCGCATATGTTTTAAAAGTTATCAGAGACTAAAAAAATTTAAACATACAGAAAGTTATTGAGAAAATGCTGCTTTCTAAAATTCGCCGGATAGTTATCCAATAATAGTTTAACATTTTCGCAGATGCGATGTAAAAAGTGACATAGATGGGAGCGCTTTTGAACTCTGCGATCACCAAACAAAAGTCAAACAGTTACTTCATATCAGATTATATCCTAGAATTCTGCGGAACAAACTTCTTCGTGCCCCAAACAGAGATAGGCAGCTCTGCCCTTTAGCTGCTTCGCTCCGATTCCGCTCCAAGCAGAGTAGTCTCTACTTCAATTGCAGCTTGTTTCTAGCCGCTTCGCTCCAGCTCCGCTTTAAAAGCGAAGCAAGCTCTGTGGAGTGGCCGTTCCAGAGTCGGAGCTGCCCATCTCTGGTCTTGGGCTCTGTTGATTGAAAGTAGTCGACTTATTGCTTTCCACTTACTTAGTTGCCATTCTTCTTCTTTGCCGAGATCGTGCGAATAGGGCAGGTGCAGATCTAAAATCTGTCTTTTATGTTATATGCAATTGTTTCCTTACATGGTAATAGATGGTTCAGATTCCTTATCTCTTAACCTGTTAGCTGAGTCAAGATAGTTGAATGCAGTTGAAATTCATCATGATTTCAACTACAAAAGTCTAAGAATTAGAAATAGCAGATGTCGTATAGGATTATGTTCTGAGATTTTTCGGGCTCGTACAGTCAGCTGCTTTTTTTCTACTCGAGTGGCAGTCTAGTTCTTTTTTCTGTTGTTTATCTAAATATTAAGATATTCGTTCGAAATAAAAAATTTTAAGTATACGGCATATTTTCATATAAATTTTAAAAAATCGAAACATTGCTTTTTTTATATTGTTCCGTCCCGCAGGACTTTATTATATCTCCAATCACCCGAAAATAGAACTAATACTCACCCAAGCAGCCACTACCGTTCATGGTCGCCGCAAAAAGAAAACAGAAAATATCCTTCGTTGGCTACTTCCACTATGAAAATCCATAGCTTGGAGATATTCTGATCGATTATCAATCGGATAAATCATCATTTTTAGATTCATATTATTTTGTCAACCAGATAATCAGCAGAGAAGGTTTTTCGACTTCTTTTTTGGTTTATCGTGAATGTTAGTAACTGTTTAACTGCATTTTTGGGTTATCACGTGCTCTACAAAAATCCTGTTCTTAACTCCTGCCCATATTGAAACCTATGAATAAATCCATATTTATTTTCAGGTTTTTCAATGGTCAAGAAATAACTACATCAGGCAAATATAAAATCGAATCCAAAGGAAATCTTAATAAATTAACATTACCTAAAGTTGATCTTATTGATACGGGTATATATGAAGTTGTTGTTTCAAATGGTATTGATACAATTAAAGCTCAATCAAAAGTTGATGTTTGCATCAAACCTAAAGTTGAAGGTAGATTTTAATATAACCATCACAAAATCTTTATTCATTTTTTTTCCGTATCCTAGGTAAACCATCCGATGTTAACGTCAATATCAATGAACCAACTAAACTTCAATGTAAAATATCTGCTTCACCAACACCAACTATAGTTTGGCTTAAAGATGGTAAACCAATTGAACCATCTGATAATATTACAACACAAACTGAACCCGATGGCACACAAACTCTTCTATTTAAATCTGCTCAAATAACTGATAAAGGAAGTTATACATGTCAAGCAACAAATATTGGTGGTACAACAGATGTTAAATTAAATTTAAATGTTCAACAAATAAAACCAACATTAAAAGCTGATCTTATAAAAGATATTGTTAGTCAAGCTGATGAACCTGTAACACTTAAAATACAAGCATCTGGTACAAACCCAAAAGTTAAATGGTATAAAGATGGTGAAGAAATAATAAAAACTGTTGAAGAAGAATATGAAATAATTGAAGAAGAAGAAACATTTACATTATTACTAAAACGCGCACAACCAAAAGATAGTGGTGAATATCAAGCTGTAATAACAAATGATGTTGGACAAATAAAATCAAAAAAAATCAAAGTACAAATACAAAAAGCTGCACAATTAAAAAAGAAACCTGAACCTATTGTTAATGTTAAACAAGGTGAACAAGCATATTTTGAATGTGAATTTGATGGTAATCCAATACCAAAAGTATCATGGTTACGTGATGGAAAACCATTAACAGCTAAAGATGGTTTTGAAATAAAAACTGATGCAACTATAGGAAAAAGTGTTTTAATTATTAATCAAACAACACCTAAGCATTCAGGACCAATAACATTACGTTTAGAAAATTCTGTTGGAAAGCCAATTGAAGAAATAATTCAATTACAAGTTGAAACAGCACCACAAATTTTACAAAAACCACTAGCAACAAGTGAGGTACATTTAAATCAAACAGCTTCAATTTCATTTAAATGTTTATCTACACCAAAACCATTAATACATTTATTTAAAAATGATATTGAAATACAATTAACTGATGAACATTATGAACTTGTAACAAGTTCAACAGATTCAACATTATATGAAATTAAAATAAAAAATGTTCAACTTGAAGATGAAGGAAATTATCGATTACGTATTGAAAATTCTTTAGGAAATATTGAATCAAATTTTCAAATAACAACAGTTGATAATGTCTCAATACAACCATCAACTAAACCAATAAATACAGATTTAAAACAACATGATACATTAACACTTGAATATACTGTTAATGGACGACCAAAACCTGATATTATATTTATGAAAGATGGAAAAGAAATAAAACCATCAGCGAAAACACAAATAACATATGACGAAACAACAGGTATTTGTCGATTGATAACAACTGATGTTGGACAAGAAGATCAAGGTGTTTATACATTAATCGCAAAAAATAAATTAGGTAAACAAGAAAGTGAACCAATTAAAATAAATGTTACTGCACCAATTAATATTAAAAAAACTCTACCAGAAACAATCGATGCTATTTTTAATGAACAAACAACATTAACTATTGAAGCTGAAGGTAAATCTTTTTAAAAAAAATTGACCTATAAGATACAGACATAATAGGCTCGTTAGGAACGGCTCATCACAGACTGTGACAGACGTTTTTAATATACCTATCACAAACTGTATATTAATAACGTCTTGTTATAATATATAAACTATTTTCTTATTGCATTTCTAAAGGATTAATTAAAACGATGCTGAAGCAATATATTCCAAAATTGATAGAATAAAACAATCTCCTTATGAATACCGATAGCATACATTTTAATCGCTCAACCGATTGCATTGATATCTTTATTTTTAGGTATTCCTCAACCAAAAATAACATGGCTATTTAATGATCAACCACTTAAATCTTCACCAAAACATAAAATTGAAATACCAAAAGATAATCCACATTTAAATACTTTAACAATTACAAAATTAGATAATTCTGATAGTGGTAAATATACAGCTATTATTGATAATGGTCTTGAAAAACTTCAATCAAATTGTCAATTAAATATTTATTCTAAACCTAAATTAGAATCTAAATTAGAACCAACAATGACATTTAATATTGGTGAACAAGCTTCCATACCAATACGTCTTAGTGGTGAAGATAATACAATAACTTGGTTCAAAGATTCACAACCAATTGAATTTAATGATCGTATACGTATAACAACAGAAGAAAATAATTCATATCAATTAATTATTGATGATCTTCGTTCGGAAGATAAAGGTATTTATTCAATGATTATTAAAAATAAAGGTGGTAGTTTAGAAACCAAAACAACATTAAATATTAAAGAACAAAAACCACA